TCCCGCGGCTGTTGCTCTTCTCCGCGGCAAGGATGGCCAGGCGGCCCAACAGGCGTTCAGGGACAAGTACGGCGAGTACTACGTGGCCGGGTACATTCTAGGCGGCGCCAACGCCACCATGGTCGGGGTGTCAACCCTTGAGTCGGCAGAGTCCAAGGACATGAAGGCCACCATCACCATCAAGGTGCTCTTCATCAAGAAGTCCATCCATATCGAGAAAAGCGACAGCGCGACGAGAGCCCTTGGGGCCGCGTCGCTGGCCGCATACGATACCTTGGCGGGCATCGAGCTAACGGTGGCAGCGTCGGCCCAGGAGGAGACAAACAAGCGTGAGGTTGACCCCAACGCGCTGGCGTCCATCGCGGGGTTGATCGATACTGCGCTGGATAACCAGGACAGGGGCTGGAATTTAGTGGAACGCGTCGAAGCCAAGACTGGCCAGATGGGTCTGGACACGAGTGGAGTTGTCGCTGCCGCGGGGCGCCTTCCCATTTCCAGGGAGCAATGCGACCAGCTGTGCCGTGAGGGCTTGGTCGTCGAGCTGCTCCTGCTGCCCTATGCCGGCTTGCGCCATTATGTCCAGACCTACTACAGCGTTACGAGTTCAAGTTAGACTGGCGTAATTGCAACTGTCTTTTCTGAAGTTCTGAGCCACCGTGGAGCATCTGGGCCCGTCGCTTATCACTTTTTAGGGTGATATCGCCCCGCGAAATCCTGGGCCGCGCTTGCCAAACCCCAATATTCCGTCGTCGCTAGCCGTGTGATACAGCCCTGCCAAGACAGTAGTACTGTTTGGGCATGCTCAAACACGGAAATACGTCCGAGTTCAGATGTTCAGCTCTCGGCATGCTGAAGCCACGTTCAATAGAACGGCGAGCGAGGAGCCCTGGCTCATTCAGTCCGCATTTAGTCGTCCACAAACGGAGCTTCCCGAATTCCGTCGCGCAATTAAACAATGAGCCGTGGGTAGGCTGAGCAGGACATCATCTCTACGGGGTCTGGGGGGCTGCGACAGACTTCAAAGTCGTGACACCAAACCTATATCCGCACTTCTTCGCGCTTCCTAAGCTTGACTTGCGCTTCACCTCAAGCACTCACTCGTTGCCCAACATGGCGACCCTCCTCGCGCCCTACAACACGGCCATGCAGCTTGGCTCTGGTATGTTTGGCCACTTCAGAGTTCGTGAGCATGACTGACTAACCATAAGAATCTTCCAGGGTTCAACTCGTTCACACAACAGCTATGCATTAACAATGCCGTCGTGCGCGAGCGCCAGCCTCAGGAGAGCGCCGTCGACGTCGACAAGCCCAGGCTGCCCATAGCCCAGGAGGTCGTATACAAGACGGCTGTCATTGACAAGGTCACCGATGTGACCAGTGCCATGAACGTGAGAGTTCCCGTCCACTACTATCGTTGGCTTGTCGCTTAATGAGGCATCCTTCCCGCAGATCAACGCTGCATTCGCCATTAAGTACGACACCTTCGACGCCAAGGGCAAGGGCGACTTCATCAACACGTCCAAGGTCAAGGAGAGCGACGTCAGCTTCATGATTGCAGTCAAGGTCGTCAACCAGGTCATCTACGATAACTTGCTGACCAAATTTGATCCGATTCCTGATGTCAAGCTCGAGTCCTTCGCCTCCGTGTACGGCGACAGCTTCATCTCGGGTGCGTACTACACCCACCAGTCCAATTTTCCATACGTTATGTCTGACCTAGAAGTGCAGGCTTCCAAGAAGGCGGCGAGTTCATCGCCGTCATCTCAGTCCGGGCCAAAGACCGCCAGAAGGCCTCTTCCATGAGGGCCGAGTAAGTCCTTTTCTCCAGACATATTACCTCAGTAACCCACCCAGAAGCTAACATTTGCTCAACAGCGCCGCCATCAATTTCACCAAGGAGAACATGCTCCTCGACGCCAACGGCGAGTTCAGCAAGAAGACCAAAGACTTCCTCGAGCAGAACGAGACAACCGTGTCCGTGACGTATTCTGGCGGCGGCCAGGACCTCAAGAAACGTGTGTTCTTCTTTCTCCCTTTGCGTTCATTCTGTCTCCTCTTGACCAGTAACTAACGTTACCCCCTCCCTCCAGCCGACGCCGACTGGACGCTCGAGACGATGCGCAGCGCCGCCCTCAAATTCCCCGAGCTCGTTGCTCAGACTCCGCTGCGCACGCACGCCATCTTGACCAAGTACACATCTCTGCGGAGCTTCCAGGCCGTGCTAGGCAAGGTGACCGACGGCAACCACAATGCGCACACCGTCATCCCCAACTTTGAGCTAGCCGGCGTGTACACGTCAGTTCTACAGGAGGCATATCTCGACTACAAGAACATTCTTAAGAACCTGCAGGTCACAACCTACAACGTGAGTCACGGCATTGAGCGGCTTGTTGACGGGCCGACCGCGCGGCGCCTGGCCGTCCAGACCCCGTCTGCCACCGCTCCTCCGGCCTCTGCCCCTGGTACCGCTCCTGCTGCTGCTGCCAACGGTGAATCCGACGACGACTCATCCGTGGTCGCCGTCGACACCCCCAAATCCAAGCTCAAAGCCAGCATCTACACGGACAAGAATGAGGCGGGCACAAAGCCGTACCCACCAACTATCGCGGGGCTTGAGGCCGCGCGCCAGGACGTGCGCTTCATGCTAAACCGCATCGTGGGCGAGGTCGACGCCATCACAGCGAAGCCCGAGCTGGCCGTTGACGAAGGCCGCGAGCTGTGCTATGTTTCGCCTTTTATCTTCAAGGACCTCTTGCCCGAGAGCCTGCCGCCGCTCAAGGAGGCGGGCACCGATACCGAGGCAACGAAACCTAAAGAAGGCGGGGAGTTGGACGGGCTGGGGGATAAATTGGGTGGTACAATGAGGTTTTAGTTAGGGACATGGAGGGAATGGACCGAGAGTGTTTTAATTGAGTAAGCATAAAATTGTTTGTTACGTAACAAACAAAAGTGCATCCTGTAATTTATTTGAGAGAGGTTTTTTGGATCTTTTTTCGTCAGGTCACAGGTGTCAACAGAGTTAATCGCCTTCTTCCTTTGATGAAATGCTTTGCATTCCCTAATCTTGTTTTCATCTCGTCCTTTAGGGTGTCCCAGGAGCGAGTGCTAGTGATGTGATATCGAAGTTGATACTGACAAGGTTAGGGTTTTAGATGGCGCACGAACCTGAACGCACATCTTCATGTCACACGAGATCAAATCATCCATTCGTACCTACGGGTATCTAGGTACCTACGTTACCCCGCTCGCAGACTCCTGCTCGCTGTCGCACCTTCCCTTTCCTCGCTCCCACTTTCCTTTTACCTTTCTTTGCCTCGCCCTGTATGCTCTGGGGTTTCCACATTCCCGCACGAGAGTTTTCTTACAACAACTCGTTGCTGGAAATCATTCTCCTCAGAGATGGCTAAACGACGAAAATAGCTTCGATGCGTGCGCGTCAGAGCCGCAAATGCATCAGAAAGCCGCCGACTCTTCGAGGTTGCAGCCAGACCAATTCAGCCGCATGATCTCACAGTACCCGAATCTGTCGCGTCTTATGTTTCTACATTGGATCTCTTCAACATTGCCTTGACAAATCGCGCAAACCACACCAGTATCCTGGGCTCCCCCGACTTCTTCCGCGACGTGCTGCGACGCGATTGTCTCTGCGATGGCTACGGCTTACGCGACCGCCAGAACTTTTCCGGACAGCATGCGCTCACCGAGGAGAACGGCTCCAGCTTTACGCGGTGGGTGCGGATGGGCTACAAGTACGTGGAAAAGCGCTGCATACTCGAGGACGAGCCCATCGAGGTGCGGCTCTACAACCTCAAGTGCGACGAAGCAGACGCGCTGCCTTGTCGCGTGTGCAGCTTCAACGTCTGCGAGGAGTGTCGCGACTCCCCGCGCCTCAACCGCCACGACGAACAGCCCAGCAGGCGGCCTCATCTAGCCAATGATGGCGCCACATACATGACGGGCTTCAGCCCGCCGTGCGACACGAAAATGGAGGACGAGGTACGAGGCAAGTTTCTGCACGAGCTGTGCGACTGCGACATATTTCACCGCTGGGTCTTCCAGAAATGCGCTTGTGAGGAGCGGGTGGCTGCGACGGCATACTTCGAGGAACATACTAGTAAAATCCCCGCATACACGTATAAAGCTCTGGGGGACAAAAACACCAATACCCAAAAGATACGGCGCTATGAAGACATCTTCTATGTGAGTTTCTCCTCGTCCTGCACTGGAGAACAGGACAACCAGCTGACTTGGGGCATTTCTAGATCTACAGTCCCTGCGGCGCCAATGTACCCAAAAAAAGCCGTCTCAGGTGCAGCTTTTGCAAGCGTCAGCATCTACCCCGACACCAATGGCACTAGCGCGGTTTGCACCCGAATAAAGCAACCCAGTGGCCCGATAACGTAAGTCTTTCAAGATGGGGACTATTTTTTCCCCTACCGCCACCTTGAACCTTCTAACCACCCAGAACTCGCAGGACCCGCCTTATCCGTACTGGCATTACGGCTACCAGGACCTCTGGCCCGGTATGTATCCGAGGTTGCCGTACGAAAGACTGGATCGGTCGGCACAACGACAATCAAGCGGCGAGTTGGAGCGGGCCGAAGTCTGACAGGGTGATAGGACTGCTGGGCTGTGAGTCAGTCATGGTTTCAGGAATTGTCTTGAACCCTGGTATTGTTCCAGTTTTACTTCCCGTCGGCCTACCAACCTGAAAGTTTCAAGACAGGAGTGAGGTCGGCTTTGCCAGGTCAATAGGCCCTCCCATTTTTCACTAGTTCTCACACAAAGCGGCGAGCAATCGCAAGTTGCAACCATCTGCCGCAGAGGATTATGCGGCTTGGTCCGATCGTCTGTATCTAGACTGGAGTCTGATACCAAGATGCAACACAATAATAACGTTGCCCGCAATAAACCACCTGATATCTCCTATATAAATGGTCACATCTCTGCCTCACATGAGGGACCTTGGCAACCTATTTGAGGGCGACAACAAAAAGAACTGCCCACACCAGGGCTCGAACCTGGGACCTGTCGCGGACACAGTGATTAAATTGTGAGGCGAACGTCATACCACTAGACCATGCGGGCGGATATTGTTTCGACGCCCTACACCTCCTCTATGTCCTCCACCTTGACGCTAGTCTCTTCCTCTTTCTTCGCCTTCTCATCATCCTCACCCTCCTCGTCCGTTTTCTTGGCCTTCTTCTTAAACTCCCTCCTCAAAGGACACTTCCCCTCGTCCCTCCCGCCAGCCTTGCACTCAGCACACCTCTTCCCATGCGTCACCAACAAAACATGCAGTCCGTACTTCTCCTCGTCCGGGATCCGCGCATCGAGATGCAGGTGGGTCTCGTCGCGACTCGCTTCGCGCGGTCTCCACCTCAGCAGGCCCGTGATCCGCCACACATGCGTGTCGACCGCGAAGCTGTGTCTCCCCAAACAGAACAGCAAGACGCAACTCGCCGTCTTGGGGCCTACGCCCTTGAACGAGAGCAGCTCGCGCATGATGGCGTCTTCGTCCGTCTCGGAGTGGAGATGCTCGAGCGAGTACACTCCGTACCGCGCATGGACCTGCTCTAGTATGTTGATGATGACGCGCGATTTCACCGCGCTTAGACCGCCGCATTGGATCGCGGCTTGGAGCTTGGCCTGACCGCCTGAGACGATGGCTGTCCATTTGTCTTCCATGCTTGTGACTGACGAGAGATTGTACGCGCGGTCCATGCTCCGCTTGGCGCGCGACGAGTTGGCGTCGCTAGTGTTTTGCGAGAGGATGGTCCGGATCAGAGCGTCCAGCACGCACGGCGCGTCGCCGCAGCCTGCACGCGAGGTGGGTGCCTTTACGGGACCAGCGGGGCGGGTGCGCGCGCCATGGAGGGAGGTGAGGATGCGGTGCGCGAGACGGCATTCCGCGGGCGTCGGGTGCGGGAAGGAGGGGAACGGTGATTGGTGGGAGCCGTATTGGGTGTAGGATTTGAGCTTCTTGGCTTGCAGGGGGTCCTTTGCAGATGCTGATGGGGCTTCTTCGGAGGGTTCGGACTCGGGCTTGATTCGTTTTGTCGATGGCTTCTTCTCATCGTCTGGTGAGAGGGCTCGTTTCTTCTTCCTCTGCCGTGGCGCGGCTGCGGCTTCTCCGTCTTCTTCTTCCTTTTTGATGCCGGGAGGTGAGGAGGGTTTTGGTTCGACCTTTGGGGATAGTGACGTTATAGTTGTCGCTATCAATCGCGCAGCTCTGAGCGGCTGCTTTCTTTGGGCGGCTGTCGCACTGGCTCGGGTTATTCTTGTCATCATGTAACGTTGTATTCGGCGTGTATGCGTGTGTTTGGGAGGAAAAGAAGTGGTTGATGTTATTGCTGGTGGACGAGCAAGCAAGGGCAGCTGGCGATTCACGTGAGGTTGGGGTGATGATGTCACACATCTCACTAGCTCTCAGACGCGCGTGGCAAACTTACTAACCACAAAGAAGCAATCTGAACCTCAAAATTAGAGCGACCTGATGGAATTGACAATAATCGTAAGCTATCAACACAAACCACCCTTGAATGATTATTTTGTAGATGGATTATACCCAGGGGCGAAACTCAAACATACTGTCGGAAACGGCACGTTCGGCGCGGGCCAATTACCTCGTCTGAAAGGCGTGGTATCGACGTTTGTCCTGAAGTGTTTAGTCCTGTTCCTCCGGCTGTTTCTCCAGGCGATCAAGAACCGTGAAGGTAATGCTTGCCTTGTTTCTCTGCCAGACGCGCCCGTGCTTCTCGACTCTCTCGCCTAGCCCCAGCCAACCCGCCCGCCGGGTAAGGTCCGACTTGTACACCCGTCGAGCTCCATCGACCGCGTGAAGGCCGTCAAATCCGAACTCCAGCTTGATCATATTCTTGGGTACGTACTTGGAGTAGAAATCAAGCGTCCAGTGCAGTCGCTCATACATGAAGTCGTACCATTCGCTGCCCGGAGCCCGGTCGGCTGGGAGGACACCCCAGTACGGGCTTGGGTGGCGCCGTGGCTCGAGGATGACATACAGAGTGGACAGGCCGCTGGAAATCTGCTGCCACAGGGCACGATGATCTGGATGGACGATATCGATGCTTCCGAACGCCTCGCCGTCAAACTCGAACTCGTGGTAGAGGACGAGATGTCGGATTCGCAGGCAGTTCTCGTGGCTGAACCGGGCCATGATGCTGCACTCGGGGATGGAATAGTCGGGGTCGACCCAGAAGATGTGGCTGCCGTAGAGGAAGTTGAGCGCCTCGTTGCTGATGTCTCGGCTCAGGTGCAGAATACTCAAGTTCGGTCTGCTCTTGGGACCTCCAGGTGGAGAATACTTTTTCTTGCGCGATTTCTGCGAGTTGAAGAAAAGCTTAGGGAGAACAGTCGTCTCCGCGAAGTCTTCGAGTTCTCGTGCCACCTCGAGTTCGTATGGCTCGCCGACTTGACAAAGGCCGTCTAACCACTTTAGTAACTTGAAGCATTGCAGCTCCTCGCGTCTAAGACGTTCATTATCGAGACGCTTCTTGTGGGTGGTGTCAGGGTCCTTGTACGTGCCAGCTGAAAATTTCACCAGGTTGTCAGGGAGAAGGAGGAGGAGTCCGTAGATCTGGAAGCGAAGCTCAATTGGGATGTTGTGAAATAAGCTGCCCGCCATGATTCCAACACTGTCTTCGTGCTCGTCGACGGAATCCGAAGTGACTTTTTGGCCCAAGTGAGCGAAAGAGCCGACCGCTTCATGCGCTTCGAAGAAATCCGAAATGATTGCGGGGTTTGCTTGTTGAAGTGCTGTGTAAAAATGCTCAAGGTTTCGGAAGAACCCGAGTTATAAAGTCCTTTCAAGAGGCGAAGTGTGGCGCGTCTGCGTGGATGCAGAGGAGCAACGGCTATGAAAGAACCAGCCGTGGGAACCGTGTAAACAACGAACGCGTGGGGAAAACGAAGAAGAGATACCGTCAGATATAGCAAGACGCGGGTCCGTGGAAATTTTTGGTTTGTTGTTAAAGAATGGGATGAAAGCCAAACCAGCCAAAACGGTCATTTTATCTCAAATATCAAGAACCTTGTTTACCGCCCTGGGGACTTATTCTGCACTCGTAACCAGGGTGACCTTTCCTTCTGATATGACGAGAATTTTCGGCTTTCCGGCAGATTGAGAAGTTCCATTTCCATGTAGCAGTAAGCATACGCCGGCTCGCGATATTTCGTAGCACTTTTGTGGATTGATTTGGGGAGACAGTTCTTTGACTGTGCCCTTCCAAGTACGCACTGTGGAACTGAAAGTTCGGCCAAAGCGCGGCTATGTATCGAGGCGCTGATGAAACATTGGGTGGTGCAACTAACATGGTGGGGTCTCGATATCGACGCGTCGAGGGAAGGTGCGCCTCGACTTATCTTATCAGAATAGGAAGGAACCTCGTCGCAACAAGAAGGAACGGGCGCGTTCGAATATCGAGAACATCTAGAACGACTTGCAAGCACAGACAAGCTCCTAGCTTCCCAAGACCACGAAATTTGCAACCTCATTCGGCGCTGCCCTTGATGAAGGCGATGGGGCTTTTGTTTCTGCACCTCATACCTGGACAGAATAGAAGGCTCTGGAACTATATCAGAACCATCTCTTGCTACTATTTAAGCCGAACTGCATCCATAAGTTTGCCGCCCTTGTCTTATCTTCTTCTCTGTACCTCCCGTACTCCGTACACTTTGGCCAACTCCAAGTCCATTCTAGGCTGCGTTAGTCCCGCCGCACTACTATTCAAGTTTCCAATTCAGCAAAACCGAATGACGCTCTAGTACCCCGTGCTAAGGATCGAGAACATAAAAAACGCAGCAAACATAAGAAGGAAAAAAGGGTGCGATTATTGTTCCGAGACCCGATTATGACGAAACCGACTCGATTCCGGAACGATGCCCACAAGGCCTGGGCTGGGCGAAACCATCGAAAACGCCTAATGTATGCATCGCGGCCGTAGATGTCGCATGCGAGATACTTGGAAAACCTAGGAAGTCCGTAAGCGTTTAAGCACCTCTTGCAGGAACGAATATCCTGCTAAACGCGAACTTCTGGCTAGCTTGTGGTGCCGACAAATGGCAAGGCCATAACGGTTGAGATGACCTCTCGAAGCCGGCGACATGTATAGCGGAAGCTGAGAATTATGGTTGCAATGCCGAGCGGCCTGATAATGTCCCACAGAAGCTCGAGAGGCAGGCGCTCGAGTTCAGAGACCGTCAACGAGCCAACAGGTCGTGGTGCCGCTGGGGGAATCGGGACTCGCAGCGAGGACCGCGCATCGTCATGGGTGCTGGGAGCGAAGCTAATGCTAGCCTTCTCGAAATTTGGATTGCGATACGACGTCGCTTGGATGGTGGCATCTCGCCCGTAGCGGTCCGAGTCACCATTGCCGACAGGATATGCCCTGCTTGACCGATTTTCCTCTATGAGTTCCCTGCGTGCGCAGTTGAAGCCCCTGCAAGCCAGATCGCAGGATGCCGTTGCGACGACAAATTTTTTTTTTGGCTTTGGGAGAATTAGAATGACATAGGGGTTCAAATCAAGGATGAAAATGGGACGAGTGGTGGTCTATCCGTACAGCACAGTCCTTTTGAGGGGGAATTTTAGCACAGATGTTGGTAGAATGTTTGGCCTATTCAGTGATAGGAGATTGAAGGAGGACTCGGACATGTTGGTTGGTCGAATGTCTGACTCATCAGTGACGGAGGGGTGTTGGTGCAGGTTAGACTCAGTCCTCTCATGTCATGTCCTCGCCGTCCTCATTTCAAGATATCTCAAATCGTTTTACTACCCACTGTACGTGGGATGAAGTCGAGGGTACATGTTGCAGGCGGCTGACAGACGCCACGACATCCGAAACCTTCGTTATGGCGTTGTACAAAAGACAGGCAATGCAGATACGTCATGCATGTCAATGTGCATTGTGGGGAACAGCGGCATAAGAATATCTTTATACTTTCACCATCTTAAAAGTCCCTTCAATGCAAGTTGGGAAAGTCCCAGTCCAGTACACACCGTACACACCTTCCCAATTTAGGAGATGTATATAGGTCTGATTTGTCTCAAGTATTCCTTCCATTGATTG